CTGATTTTTCTAAAAAGTGTGAATTTTTGACCAAAGCAACCTGTGAAATGTTTATTTCAATCTCATGTCTTTCATGTTAAATTAGGTTCAAACAATTCGCGGTTATTTATGAATATCATAAAGAGGGTAAACTCTGACCTGACTTGAGTCGTCTTCGGCGGGTTTACTGCAGCCTTTCTGTTCAATGCCAAACAGCGAAATAAAGTGTTTACTCGCGAGGGAAATGAAACTAGTGAAATACAAGTGTCGGATACCAAGTGAAATATTGCCTTTTGGAGGCCCTGTCAATCAACTCTTTGAATGGTTTCCTTTTTTTTATTAAAAGTGAAGCCAACACATATTTACTTACAGAAATTTGTCTGGAAATGAGATGGGTGTCAGTTTAAGCTGCGTGGTACCACAGGGGACATCAGATTTACATTTAACACCTTGGGCTCGGTGTATTCATTCAAGCTCTACTCGTATTTCGTGAAAACGTGAAACTTCTGTAAAGCTCCAGATCTCTAAGGATATTCATTCGCAAAATACAAAGGTAATTGATACGTGGGTGCGAAAAAAGGTGGATCAACATTTGTTTATCGACGTGTTTTAATTTTAAGTGTTATGTTGCCCTCCCCAAACTTTTGTCTCCACCCTCTGTGGTAGTGTGTTTTTACCATCTAATCGCGCTAACCATTTTTTTCTTAAATAATAAGCACATGTTTTCGGTGTTTGTTTATAATGACTGTTTTGCGCTTAAGAACTCTATTGGAATATTCAGCCTTGAAGTCTGGTAGTTTCTGTGCAAGGTAGGAAGTTTGAAAATCGTTGTTTCATTTGGAACCAAAATATTGATTTAATTATTGTGGAGTGTTACCAGTGTCCAGGTACTATTTCGAACGTCTAACCAACATGAAAATTTGACGAACGGATCGTGCATTACTTAAATTTTTTAAGCTTTGGCCTTGAACTTGGCTGACATCCGGCAGAAACGAAAATAAAGAGAGGGGAAAAACCTTTGAGTTAAAGCTACCTCAGAACAAACGCCGTAAAAAATGAATTTCCAAACCCTATGCCCATAGAACAATAAAAGTAAATTTGAATAAACATGGGACAGACGTGCTAATTAAAATTGCAGAGGTTGAAAGCGAATTTAGATAACTATTAAGTTAGGAAAATTAATGTTTCGACTACTTGGTTTTGTTGGATTATTGTGTTCCAAAGTTACGCTCAAATATCAGGAAAATCAATAGCATTGAAAACGCACGGAAGTTTCCGTGAGGTAATGTTTACTTTCCTCGACAGAAGCTGGCAATGCCTTTTTCCGAACTGAGAAATGCATACAAAATTGGTGACTAGATTAACACACACTGTGCTGATACCACAAGAAAGTGCAATTACAGAACCATTTCGTTTCATACACCACAGTCAGAGCTAAGTTTAGGGATCTCTTTATGAGAGACTACATACCGTGTATTTACCGACGGATGAACCCTCATTGTAAAAACACTGAAGACTTGGCATTAGTGCCAGCCCATCTTTTGTAGGTAAAAATCTAACAATTGTGTGAAAACACTTACCTAAACAATTCGCCATTCGCCAGTCACGAGTCAAACCTCATAGAATTTAAACTTGGCGTCGGAAGAGAAATAAAAATAAATGCGTCTACTGTCATCTACCCAGTAATTATTAGGCTACACTTGGAAACAAATGAATGACGTTCCGCTTGTATGAATTGGCCACCATTTATTTGCGAACTGTCGAGACTTACTCAATTGTTGGTTACGGTGCGGAGACACTACTAAAAGAGTTCTGACGGGAGAGCCGCACGGCTTTGAGGGTACGAGATTGTCTACCTAGCTCGTCTTTAATTGTCAACTTTTCGCGTCATTTACAAAACAAAAACTTTTTCCTCGCCGACAAAAGAGTCAGCTGTCTTACCAGCAGAATAATTAGAGAGAAAGTGCCCTCTTTTCGAAATATTTTGTCGCTTGTTGTTATTAAACCCCAAATAATGTGCTGGTGTCGGTTGGTTTCGGACAACCTTTACCTAGACAACACTGATACTCAAACCAGAAACAATGTACTTAATTGAAAAGCTTGGAAACTCTTAAAAGGTTTAATTTTTCGGCTTGAGGGAACGTTTTCAATCTACAATTTTTAGGTTTCGTATAACTACGTCACTGGGAAGGGATCGCGAAAGTTTAATCTGGTGCCGCCAAAACATTCGCCTTTCGGGCGTTTATCTTTGCCAGCTGCAATCAAAAAAAGGAAAAAAAACATCGGGGGCGTTTAACCCCTCACACATTTAGCAATCATTTGAACATCGACTTTTCCAAATCAGCGCGAGTATTCATTAGTCTTCATTTAGATTCTTCATCTTCAAGAAACTCGCCATGTTTTGGCTGACTCAATACTTCAAAATGAGAAACCAGCTCTTTCTAAAATAGAAAAATGTCTTTTCTTATCAGCGAATATATATATATATATATATATATATATATATATAGATATATATAGATATAAAAACAAAACGAAACAAAAGCCAACATGTCCAACATGCCCCTTTTTTCAAACAGCTTTATAAGTAGTCAAGACACCCTCGACACCCTCCGACTGGAACTAATCCTCTTAACAGCCATCTTTGTTCCTACTGCTTTGAACAAAAGGTGAATTAAATATTTATGTCGCGAGTGCTCAGCTGTTGACGATAATTATCTAAATTTGAGATTTCTCTCAAAATAAATGAGTTGACATTTATTTGAAAGCTCTTTCTGAAACTACCATCCGACTGTACAAACACTAACACGTGTGTTGAAGAGAAACGATGTTTAACGGGTTGGCCAAGATTCAAAACTAAACAAACGTGTTTCAGGTGACTAAAACTCCATGCATTGTATTTTTTAAACTTTATTCACCAGTTGTGAAAAAAAGAAGTCATTCCACAAAAGAACCATGATTCAGGAACTTCAGCTCACTTATCACTTTTATCGTTTTGTTTTGACTTTCGGAAATGGTGCATTCGGATTTTCTCCTTTGTAGAATTCTTTTAACAAATCAACGGCGGTACTTGCTAAAACACCAGATACACACTCAAGAGGTTTCCCTACAGCGATGGAGTGGGTGCATTTCTCGCCACATGAATTCGATAGGGCTCGACCGCATTCCTCACAGTTTACAGGCGCGCATAAACATTGCTGCCCTTTGGAACAACCTGTTGAATTTCCTACGACAGTTGGCGAAATTTCTCGGATGGAGGCCTCTGAAGAAATCTCCAGACTTTTCTGTGAATCAAAGTCGGTTGATTTAGCGGAATTAAATGAAGTGCCAATTAATGTCTGACACGAGGTACAACATGGAAATTCATCGTCCGTCTCAGAGAGATTCTTCAACAAGTCCGAGGAAGCTGCGACAACAGATTTGTTCTCCATAACACACCCTATTGTATTTTCAACACCATTTGAAGATGCGTCCTGAGAAACACATTTAGATGTTTCTGTTGTATAATCGTCTGTATGAATGTTTAAAATAGAACCACAGCCTCCAAATCGTTCGTTTGCGCAACCAAAGACAACTTTAGAGACATTCAGGTATCGCAGTGCTGAAGCACACATGATACACGGCTCTACTGTAACAAAGAGGCTGCAATTTCTCACAACATCCTCAAAACAAAGACCTTGGTTCTCTGACCATCGCTTAACTCGATCAATGGCTACTAGTTCAGCGTGTCTTGTCGCATTCTTTGTCTCATTTACCTCATTCCTTCCTGTGCCTATAACTTGGTTCTTGTAGACCATAATACACCCCACAGGCACTTCGCCTTTTTTCAGGGCCTCTTTTGCCTATGAAAGAATGGAACATTATTCAACATACGGGAATAGTATTAATCTTTTAACCCCGAATAATGACTAACATCTAATTTCTCCTCACAATATAACTCTTGAATCACACATTAAGGTCATGAGAATAAAGGAAATGATCACCAACAGAGAAGTTCTTGATTACAGCCCAAATTCTCCTGGTCAGCACCGAAGGAAATGAATGCGGAACAGCATGGAGAATATGCATAATGATATTAAGGTGTAAAGGGTTAAATAGCTTATCGAAAATAATTTTTCAAAGGTTGACTATTCACCTGACAAGAGATTCGTGTTATGCAGGTCAGAAAAAAATAATAATCACCCATCTACTCTTGTCTAGAGGTTTTAAGGTATCACTGAGAGAAAGTCTTTTTTGAATGTCCAGAAATTTAACTACTGGAAAAAAATAAAGATCTATCGAGTTCTGGAAATTTTATTTTGGTATCCTTTTACTTCAGGAGATTATAAAACAAAAAGTAATTTGAGAGTAGAACGGAAGGCGCGAGATTGATGACACACGTCAACTTCTTGTCGTCATTTCAAAACCACTATTGATTTACAGTGACACACTGTACAGTTTCGAAAGCTAAAGAGGTTGCTCTTGTAATCCTAAAGTTGTTATCAAGCTGTTATCATGTTCAATTTTGCCGTACCAGAAAAAGGAATTTTTTTTTGCAGTCTGCATCGGAGCGGAAATATTGTTGACTGACATCGATAGGGGCTCTTACTAGACTTAAGAGATTCAGTGGCCTGAGTCTATTTCGATCGAAGTTTCTGTGCGCGTCAGTTCGCGAAAAATCTCACATACAGTCCCTCATTTCACTTTGCATTGCGCTTCAAGCATTGATCGCTGAAACGCTTTTTTGTGTTTACTGTTGAGCTCTCCTTTTTCTGCCTCCTTTTTTTCTGCGTCTTCCCTTGCAGGTTGAAGCACCTTCCATGAAGACACAAATAGCTACATATTCACGCCTGTAACACTCTCCAAACATTCTTGTATTTTAGTAATTTGAGGTTACCAGAAGGCAATGGTGAACCAATTCACACTTTTTTTCTGACGCTACACAGTAAGCAAAGCAGTAGCTAGATGTATGCGGCAGTAGACTGTTGCGTGACAGCTGGTTCACCGAGCGAAACGTGATTACATTATAAGTAGCTTTGTAACGCAATACCTTATAACCTCAACACAGAGTATCATAAGCTGAAATGTTTTTTTAGCAAACGGTAAGAATGCCATAGATCCCATTATCATGGTATTTCACTTTTATCGTGTAGTGGGGGAGAATTAAAAAGAACAAAAGCACAGACGATTATGAAAAGGAAACAGTATGCTCGACTTCGCGATAGGGCTTCTATATAAACTCATCACTAGCCAAAATTCACCATACTATTTTTATCAGGAATATTATTATTTTCGGATGCTAACTTATTAGTTATCCAACAGTACACAAAAGAACGCCAAAAAATACGAGATTGCTTACCAAATTTAATGCATGTTCCATCCACTCTTCATCTCCTCTGTCCGCCATCTTTACTAATCCCAGTCTCTTCTCTTTAATCTACTTTCAGTACTGCAGGCTCATAAACAATCCTCAGCTGTATTGTTGGAGACTTCTACTTTTCTTCACCACTATCCTGTTCTCTACCAAGGAAAGAGAGACAGTATTCAATTTGTTTGAGCAATTCCACGGACGATAAATTGTTAAATGGCAAGCGAGGTAAAACAAGCTAACACTTGCACTACTCTTGTTCATCCGCTCACGAGATTGTCTATGCAAACACATACCTCCATCGTGTAACCAAGTGCTTCATAATTATTACACAGGGCAATAAGCTGTGGGGTGGGCGTTTTTCTGGTGATGTTGACCCAGAGATGAATAAATTCAACGCCTCCATTGGATTTGATAAAAGAATGTGGAAAGAAGACATTATGGTAATCTTGTTTTCTAATCCTAAGAGAGGTTCAAAGTCTGTCACATTTTTAATCAGTTCTTCCTTTGGTAAGCAGGTTAGTGAGGGTCTCAGTCTGTCAGTTAGTGAGCGGGTCAGTTAGTTTGTCTTGTTGATTAGTTGTTCAGTCATTCAGGTGTTCATTGGTTAGCTGCAGTGGCTAGGTTGTAAATTATTCTTTGCTGATTAGTTTTAGGGCCAGTCAATTAGTTGGAAATGTAACCAGCCAGTTAGGGAGTTTAGTCAGTCTGCCATTCATTCAGTCAGTCATTCAAACTGAGAGTCATTCAGTCACCCTATCAGTCACCCAGCCAGTACTCCAGTGATTCATTCAGTGAGTCTGTCCATCTGTTTGTCAGTCTGTCCATTTTCCCATTAGATGCATTAAATGTTATTTTGTCAGTCAGACAGACAGATCACCAAATGATTCGTAATTGTCTGTGAGGGTTAAAAACAGTTGACCAGTCAAAATATTTCTATAACTGCTATGGATAATGATCTGTTTTGGCCTTAACCTTGGAGTGGTAAGTTTTAAAGTTAAATATTTCTCACACTGTGAAAATGTTTCTGATGATAGGGAAGTGAAGCATACGTTAAAGCAATAGAGAAAGTTGGCTTAGTAACCGAGAATGAAATGGAAGAAATCCTAAGTGGCTTAGGCAAGGTTAGTTGAGTACTTGGATTATGAATACCTGTCCTTTTTTTAAGTATTCATTCTAATCATAGAGGAATTTAACATCCAGGCATGATAATGCAAGTATTTTTTGGTGTGTTCTTCAAAATTTTAGCTTCATTAGCTTCATATGTGATTGGATTTGTAATCATTTGTGTTTTGATGGAATATTGTTTATGGGAACACTTTTAGATACCTGCTATGAACAAGATAAATTTCATCAACAGTTAGAGAAACTTAAAATTTACCTTTTACTTTAATTTGTACTGCAATTGTACTCAACATCAACAACATTTGTAAACCCATTTTTTTAGTACTGCATATACATTTTATCCATTTCATTGCTGCATTTAAATCATTCTTGGACTATAGTAATCAATAAAATATAATTTAAAGCAGGTGTAAAACAATTTTGTCATGTTGTTTTGATCTTTATCAGGTCAGAGATGAATGGTCAAATGGAAGCTTTGACCTTCAACCATCAGATGAAGACATCCATACAGCAAATGAAAGAAGATTAAAGGTAACTTGATTTGTTGTCACATGTGTATGATGATATGATATGAGAATTAATTTGTTACTTTGTATTTACAGGAAATTATCGGAAGTGTTGGTGGTAAACTTCATACTGGCAGGAGCAGAAATGACCAGGTATTATTACTTTTTTATTGATTATCCATTTTACTTCCAGAAGTGATCGACATGAAACTTCTCCCAATAATATCCTTACATTATCCAACAAACAGGTAATGAGAATATTCAAACTTATCAGGTAGAATTTGTTATCTTGATCTTACACCAAATTCTCACAACTAATTTACAAGGATATTTGTAGCAACTAGTGGGGAGAATTAACATTCAGATCTTGGGTTAAGGGTTATTATTTAGTCATTTATATTTTTTTTATGATTTTTGCCACAAAAATGATAAATTAAGTCATCATAGTGTAATGTTTGACATGTAGCTCTTTTTGTTATGATTATTTAATAATGCATCAAATGCCTTAGTTTAAAAATTTTGTTGTAAAATGTTTCACTTTTCCCTTCTTCAAGGCTCAAGTGGATGCAAGGTAAAAAAACGTATAACACCAGGGCTAGAATGACTTATTTATCTATGATAAGTGTATTTTATTTATCAAACCTCAAAATAAAACCATTGTTATGAACCAGAAATTGATGATGTCAAACTGATTTCCAGGGTTTTCACATCAGTGGAGACTTTTTGAGAGTAAAAGTGTGCATTTATTTAGTTGGCAACTATTACATAGGTATTCAAATACAAATACAAGGTTTTTTTAAACTAAAAGGTTACCAAACATTAATGTCTACTGACAGTATAATCATTAGAATTACCACCACATGCTTTGTGTTTTATTTTAGAGTTTTTGGGACAGGAAGAGGCTTTTGAGAACTTGAAGCTCCAAAGGTAGAATGCACTAGAGAGGGAGGGGGGGAGGGTGTGTGGGGGTGTTTGATACACTGTCTACAGCAAACCAATACAGAGATACCTATCTGGGTTCATTTCCACAAGATTTTGCCTTTTTACAAATATCTTTCGCAGATTGTGGCTTAAAACAGAGATCAAGACTCTTCAAACCCTGTTGTTTGAGCTGATTAAAGCCTTTCTAGTAAGAGCTAAAGTGTAAGTTTCCATCAGTTTGCAGTTTGTAAAACCAGTAATTCAATGATGAAAAATGACAAACAAACAAACAAGTGATTAAACTTTACAGCTCAGTAAAGAAAGTAGCTAAAGAATCTTAAATGTACACATGCAGACTTGGGCCCAGTTGTACAAAGGGGGGATAATGTTATCTGACAGATAAATTGCTATCCAGCAGATGAGTGTTAACAAAACAAACTGTTCTATGCACCAGGTGGAGGTTTATCCAGTAAATGTTGTTATTCACCCTTTGAACAACTGAGGCCTGGTTTTCAAATATTTTTCTGTCAGTTATTTTTTAAAGTATTTTTGGTAAATAAAATTAATAATTTTCTGTTTTTATAGAGAAATCGACTTTCTGATGCCGGGATACACTCATCTGCAGGTGCTAATTCTAAGCTTGTTTGATAAACTGTAAAACCTTTGTTTATATTAAAATCTTATTTATTGAGATAATTGCAAAGCAGTTCGCATAAAAATTTGTACTTTTGATTATCTTAGCAAGCTCAACCAATAAGATGGAGTCACTGGCTTTTGAGGTATGAGTAACTATTAATAGAGATTTATGTAAGGCTGAAATAATTGAACTAACAAAAGCTTGAGAAAATGGTTTAAGCAAGAATGTGGCTATTTATACTATGCATGGATTGCATATGACTGAATGATGAAAGCAGTACATAATATTACATACCAGCAGTTCCCAATTTTAAATTGTCAGTTGTTAAGTCTGGTATATTAATATGAAAGCAATTTGCAGTAACGAACACTAGTTGAGCAGTAGTGAAAATAAGGCTTGAAAAAAATTCAGGCCTGTACAGGATTTCAGGTGGTGCAGGCCTGAATTTTCTTCTTTTTTTATTTTTCCAGGCCTTATTTTCACTTCTGCTCAAAGAAAAGTTCTTATTCACTTCTTTATCCATAGTTCACATATATGATTTTCATACATTCACAGTCATTTAGTCTGGTATATGTTTGCTAATAGAGGCTATGCCGTGCTTGAATCATTTCACTTATTAGTTAAAATTTGATCTCAAGATTGATTTTTTTCCGAGACTTTTCCTTTTTTTGTGAAACTTCAACTTGTTGTGGTAAGTAAAAAGCTTGACATTTTTGCTTTACTTTTTTTTAGTTATGCTTGGGCACTGAAGAGAGATTATGATCGCTTGGAAGAGGTCTCTAAACGAGTTGATGTCAACCCTCTTGGAAGGTTGGTATTGACTTGACTGTGCAAGGAGGCATGGGGAGGAGGAAACTGGCAAGAAGGTGGTTTGGAGGGGGGTAACTGTGTAGGGGGAAGGTCTGACACATACTTTATCGTACTCTTAATGGAGTATAAATTGAAAGGTATTGGTTTGAATTCTTCTTGGTGTCACAAAAGTTCTTCCACAGGCAAATACATTCTATGGGCTTGTCACAAAACACATCCTTACCTCTGAGTGATGAGAGCTTTTATCAAGAATAACATGATTAATAGACAACTGACCAATCAATTGACTAACTGACTCACTGAGTGTGGCCAAAAGACTGATGGATTGATTGACAGAATATTACTGGCTGTGTAACTGACTTGCAAATGACCATCTGTTTTCCTGACTGACTCATTCACTGCCTGTCTGACTGACAGTCTGACTTACTGTCTGAGAGACTGTTTGGGTGACCCACTGATTGGTTGACTGACCGACTGACTACCTGTATGACTGCCTGACTGATTGGCTGAATAAGTGCCTGTCTGGCTGCTTTATTGCCTTTTTAGTGGTGCCATTGCAGGGAATCCTTTCAATATTGACCGTCAGTTTCTTTCCAAAGGTAAATATTTTCAGATAGTTTTTCCATTCAACTTATTCCTGGTATCAACAACTAATTTTTAACAACATTAAAGATTGATAAACATAAACATGGACATCTTGATAAACACCTACTTTCTCACTGATGTTGCACAGCACCTGCCTCCATCATCACCTTACCTGACAAGAAAATTAAGGTCTTCCTTAACTCCTAAACTCCCATGAGTGACCAAGACTGAATTTCTCCTTACAACATTAATACAATATCAAGCAGACAAGTGGTGAGAATAAAGATATTTATTTAACTTTAAATTATTAGCCAGGGATTAATACCAATTTATCCGAACTAACATCATAAGAATTTTATGGCAGACTGTTAGAAGAATTTCTAATGAAATCTTGGGAATAGAAGGGTTAAATTCTTCTGTTCTGCATATCTGAGCTTTGATGAATCTTCTTCCATCAAACTTTATTCTTTGAATTGTTTTTAGAGTTAAATTTCTCCGCCGTGACAGGGAACAGTATGGATGCAGTAGGGGACAGAGACTATATTGTAGAATTTCTCTTCTGGGCTTCGCTCTTGTCAACACATCTCAGGTTTAATTGACAATGAATATAACAGAATCAAGGAAAAGTGTTATATAAAAATTTTTAACTTAAAGAAGAGAAGACCCACTAGGTCACTTGTCAGCTTGGCAGTTTCTCTCTGGCTGTATATCAAATTTTTAGTCCTTTTAAATTTCTTTGTTTTTATAATTTGTACCTCTTTCAACTTTATGGTTACAGTTACCTACAGTTAAGTATTTTCACAGGTGTAGCAGATCATGTCCTGTCTAGAAATTTAGAATGACATTCTTTGGGGAATCAGATCATGGCATCAAATTACATGTAGGAATGAATGAAATTTTTATCTCAAACTTCTGAAATGATTTCAAACCAAGCACCCCTACCCCTCCCCACCCCATAAAAACTTGATCCTGAGGCAAGGTGATGAGTATCTTTAAGATGTTATAGCAGTTCTTATTTTTTGTTTTTAAAACTCACATCTTCTTCCTCTTAAGTAAGTGAAATATTTCTCCTCAAATCATACTTGTTGTTCATCTTCTTTCACAGTCGCTGGGCAGAGGACATGATTCTATACTCAACCAAAGAGTTTGGGTTTATGTCATTATCTGATGCTTACAGGCTGGTTTTCTTTTCAAGTTCTGTTTATTTTTTATTTATCTATTCCTCTGATGGGATCCATGATACCTTTGTAATCGCATTTCTAGAACTTTTCCTGCTCAGGAAACAGGGATTGTGGGAATGCATATTCAAAGGGGATAGGGCAATTTTTTGGTTTTTCTCTTCCTCGCTTTGTGATTGGTCTGAAAAACTCCCCTGTGACACCCTCTCCACCAATAAGATGAATATTTACAATTTTACACTTGCATTTTTCTGTCCTTCAGAGAGTATTGGAGTGTTTTATTGTAAGTTCTTAATAGCTGTATTGGTGTGTTTTATTGTAAGTTCTTATTGGTTGTATTGGTGTGTTTTAT